TTTTATTTTTCTACACCACCTCGGCATACTTATAAATCACTCATAAATTAAGTTCAAAGTTCAATAGATTCGTACATTTTAATTTCAGTTTGAAAATCTGAAATCATAGATTTATTTCCAGAAGTCTGTGAACAGTTCATAGATTTAATAAAAAAAGAAGAACTTCAAACTTTACAACTAGTTTAAATTATTTTTTTAAATTGATTAAAAAATTATTTACAAAAAACTAAATAATTATTTATTACATAGTAATACATTTTTCTTTATTACCTGTTCTTTAGACCATTCAGATACAGGCGCGCTTTGCCAGAAATGTGAACGAACTTTATCGCTACCAAAACTAGAAGTGCTTGTAGACAAATCATGAGCCGACGATGCCAAATGATGCTGATGAATCGACCAGGACGAATCACCCATGGATGAACTTCTGGTTGGAGAGTGATCAGTGGTGTTACCACCGCCCAGAGGAGATACTGAGCCAGAACTGCATGGACTACCAGGAACTTGTTGCAACCAAGGAACTGATCCTGGCGGAGAAAGGTTGCATGGAACTACCTTTTTTACTGTAACAAATAAATGACGATGCTTTATAATAATATCATTTATTTTTACACCTAATCACAGTTAATTGGTTCACATAAATTTTTACCTTTGGCATTAGCTTCACTGACTGCTTGTCGTATTTCTTCGACCAGATGTTGCGTAACCAATGAAGCAGAGTTCTGCTTACTAGGATCTGAATAATCACCAGCAGCACCGGCGTTTGAACCATCTATCGTTAACCGTTTTTCACGTTCGGCTAAGACTTGTTTCAATTGTTCAGCAAGAGATGATGGAGGACCTAAAAAAGTAAGATCAAAATTTAGTTTTTTTGTATCATTACTAATAAAGCTAAATGATATAATAACTATAAAATGCTTACCAAGTCCTCGGGCAGGTTTGGCAACGGCTGGAGTTACACCATTACTCCATACATCATTCTCGTTAGCAGCCACATTCAATGGTATATTACTTCTGGTATGAGTAGCATGTGAATACAAGCTTTCAGTAGTTGTACTGTAACCAGTACTATTATTATGTAAGTGATGTGATAGAATTGCCTTTTCTTTAGTATAAATGGGTTCAGTGGAATGATACAATGAATTCTGTTGCTCCATTGAGGTATTTGTGACAGAGTTATAAGTAGGAGGAGTATTGTTTACGGGAGTTGCCAATCTTTGCGTTGGCAGGCTGTGAGAATTTGTGTGCAGTTCTGATACAGAACTTTCAGTGTGTGATACAGAAGTCGATTCAGTTGGAGCTTCTTCATCGCAAGAGACTTCACTTTCGTCAAGACCATAGTCCTAAAATAGAAGAAAACAATGATCATAGAAATACATAATAATCTTCTTTGTTGTTTGATTTAAATATTTTTATATAATAATCGGATGAGTGAAATATTTAACTTTTACTTACAGAACTACTATTGCTAAGGCTTCGTTTTCCCTGGGATGGCAGTTGCCTATTGGCAAGTCCGCCTCTTTGGCCAAGTTCTCCTTTGCTTCTATTAGCAGAAACGTCGAGAAGATCATGTTGGGGTACGGCACGATCTAATTCGTCTTTTACTGGAAGTTTTCGTTCCACAGTCGCAGTCTTTTCTCCTTCAGGAGAAGCATCCGACAACTCGGTATCTGATAATTCCGTATCTAGAATGATAAGGAAAAAATTACACCAGAAAGAAATTAACTACAAAGTATTGACATTCTCAAAGTACAATTAAGTTGGAGAAAATTGTTTTTCACCCAATTGTTTAAACAATGTATAGGAGGTTCCCGTCTGGACAATTGTGGTGTCAACTGTTTCAGGCTCATGCTGTCGTACGGCAAACTCATTGGAAGTCCGGCTTTACGTTGCGTGTCCTAAAAATAGATAGATAGATACTAAATAAAATGAATTGGGGGTTCGTAGCGCTGTGGCAAGCGCTTGGCAACGTAATGGTTTGATTGCCATTTTATTGGTATCGATTGCTCAAATAACAATGAATAATAAAAGAAGTCTTGATGGCAAAACTGTTATTTCGCAACTGTAATGATCAGTCAAATATCTCAACTAGAAGAAGATATTACACATTATATAAATATATTGGCACTCAAATAAATGAAAATGGAGTGAATGAGAATTGATGAGGAATAATAAATTATAAGACGAATTTTCACTTGAAAATATAGACCCAAGTAAAAAATCACAATAGGAAATGATGACCATTGAGTTGCCTTCTAATAGCAATAAAAAGTAAATTAAATATAAATCATATAAAATATAAATCAGTTAGCAGTTAGGACAATAATTAGATTGTCTTCTAACAATTTTATAAAATTTAGCATAGAATTAAGTTTCATTTACTAAGGTGACCATATTTTTGCAAAGTCAAAACCAGGACGGTAAGTTTTAGTTATTCTAATCCTGGACTACCCAGAAAAATAATAAGAAATATAACATGATTTTGAAATAGCAAATACTATAGGAATGCAATAAAAATCCGTCTGTTTTAATCAGAATTTACTGACTAAGAACTTTATTATTCGATTATATGTTATGTTTTATATCTAATATTTTTGGATCTATACGTTTTTTCAGCTTTCAAACTTATTATAAGATTTTGTTCAAGTTTCGTCATAATTATTTGAAATTAATTAACACTTATTCCAAGCAGTCAAGAAGATTATTTCTCGAATTTTTGTTAATTTTCGGAAAATTGAAAATAAAAAGGACAACCAGGTGGGTCGAATGGTCACCTTAAATTTACACCAACTTATACAACAATGATTCTAATTGTTGATAAAAAAAGACATCAGCAATTGGTTAAATTTCGAAAAAATTGTATTTACATGTTGATCAGGCGTCGGTCAACTTTCCTTGATCTGACTATATGACCGACGCCGGCCCCGACGTCTTTTTCTTTGGAAGGTTTGTGTGATCGATAGTAAAAAATAAAATTAGTCTTAATGAAATGCTTTCAAATATAATTTTAATAAAATTTATTTAAACATTCTAAACAAAAATGTATTACATAATAAACGTTGCCGATCATTTGTCACTGCAAATTCGGCGCGGGCTCAACGTGTTAAAAGCATTTGTAATTAGTTATCATACTATGTACATGTTACGAAATTCACGAAATGAATCAAACACACACAAGTTAAATCGAAATAATTTAATCACGTTTAAAATCAGCATTCATAAGAAAACAACACACCAAAAACAAATTTTGCCTTTATAATATAGCAATAAAGTCATCTGAAAAATTCTTATATTGAACTGCTGATATGTAGATTTAGATAAATTTATTGTAAATTTTGATAGATTTCGAAAATCTCTTAATATTATGCCAATTTTTTTTATTACCTGCAATTCCTGTTCAAGTTCGATAACTCTGTCCTTCAACTTCTTCACCAAAGCGTTATATTCAGTATCTTTTTCCTGCAGAAGTTGTTGGTAAAATTCTTCACGATGAATCATGTCCAATTCACGTTGTTGAAATTCCCTTACCACTCGTTTGGCGCGATTGTATTTCTTTTCAAGAACAGCGTACTGACCTTGTGACTTTTCTAACATTCTTGGTAAGTAGATAATTCTTTTTTAGCGGCTGCTAAATTTCGTTCGGATTCTCGTAATTTCGCACTTGACTGTCGTAATGTTTCGCAATATTCTTCGTTATCGGCACTATTGTTCTCTAATTCCACAAGCTGTTAAGGCGAGCAAATAGAGGAATTTATTAATTTAAGCGATTAGTAACAAAATCGACAAGTTAATATAATTATGATAAAGGTAATTTATGATTATGCTAAAATCTCACGGCAACATATATAGTTATATGATTTATATGAAATATATAAAAATTTGTATAAAATGAAATAAAAAAGAGGTAAGAGTTATGAGCTTATTCTCGGATAACATAAGTATTTTATATTATCAGTCTCCGGTGTTTCAAATAAGTATGTTAAAGATTTGCTATTCTCGATACAACTACTCGTTATTTTATTCTTGATGTTGGCTCAATGTGTTGGTTTTTTAGAAAACTATCTAAAAACTATACCTATTCTGTATTAACTTTCCGTAGGGTTGTTATAGTAATGAGCCGAAAATCGAAAATAAAATGGCACAAATTCAAAAAAACATTAGTTCGATTATTTTAATTATAAAGTGCAACGTTTTAATGCATGTTATTTGGAACTTCTTAATGTTGGTGCTAAAGGATAAAGCAAGTCACTGAGAATAGCTTTTGCACTTATAATAACATTTTAGAGCCATAAGAAATGTATCCGAGAATTGGCCCAATAAAATAATTATTACAAAAAAAAAAAATGAAAAAAAAGAGTTTAAACCAAAAATGCCATAACTAAAGCTAATTAATAATATAATATATGTTATAATGGTTGCACCACAAAACACATACCTTTGCTTTCAATTTGGTCAGTTCTTCGTCTGACAAGGCAAGCTTATATTCGGTCTGCAAGCACAAAAACATTGAAAGCAAATCACTACAGAAACAAAAACTACAAAACAAAAAATAGTATTTGTAATTAGTCATCGACTAATTGGCGTAATTGTTCCACCCACTCAATCAATCAAATTATAAGAAAACAAGATAACAAAGTTGCATTGCAAACAAACATTCATGTGAAACTATAATAAACAAATTAAAACTTTACTAGCTAGTGAAAAATGTAAGTGATCAACTCATTTAATATCTAATAACTATAAACTGAAAACATAACAAATTTGATTTTCATTTCTGTCGAATAATTAGAGCAATTTTTTTTACCAGAATCTAATATGAAGCTACGACATGGAACATGCTCACAGTACACATTGCATCGTGTAAAAAAAAAGAAATAATTTTAATAATTTAAAATTCTTATACTAATAATTTTAATTTAAAAAACCATAAATAAAATAATCACGCCGATTGGTTCCAATAAAATTTTATAAAAAATTAATTCTAACTATTTCTTTTGTGCAATGATGGTCACAACATGATATCAAGGACAAATGATAAATACACTATAAATAAAAAAATAAAACTCAATATGCAAAAACATGCAAAAAACAACTTTCTTCACGAAATGAAATGAAATAAAAATGCTGAGTATAAATTTCTCTCAAAACAATAATCTAACCTCTTGCAGCAACATCCGTAATGAATCTTGTTCATCGCCCACCGTAGAGGCGGTAAGTGCAGATGCATCAGGCTCGAAAACAGAGTCTGGACCGCAAGCACCAGGAGCAGCAACCGCCGGCGGACTCAAAGGACCGTCACTCACGCTACTGTTTGCAGACAAAGGTAAAGTTGAATCTTCGGAGTAGTCCGATGCGTTGCGAACGTGATCCACCATGTGGCGACTCGATCTAAAAGTAAAGGATAATGATATAAATTAAGGACTTAAACATTTTGATATTTTAAAAATTATATTATCATTATGGTTACCTCTGGTATCGTTCCTCGCGCTCCTTGTCCGCCTGCAAGCTTTGTTTGATTAGTTGCGCAACTTCAGAGTTGACCGGATCACGTTCTCTGCCGATCAGAAAACGCACCATGCCGGACGTGTTACGTAATACAGAAGCTGCATAAGCTTGTGTTACACCCACGAGGGATTTCCCATCTACTTCGATAATTTGATCGTTAACTTGAATACGTTTATCTCGAGCAGCAGCTCCATTCTCGGTGATCGTCTTCACAAATATACCTAATTTTCGAGACCAGCGTCTGCTCCAACGCCCATACCTAGGAAGAAAATAAAATATCTAATTGAAATTCAATATCAAAACGATTGTTTTCATCAAATTCAATCATAGTATTGCCCATGTATTACCTATAATACTGAGTCCTAGTCCTTCTGCTCCTTTTAGTAATTGGACAGGAAACACGTTCATCTTTTCAACTCGTTTTTCTAATTCATATTCGGCACTAGCAGCAACAGGATCCACATCTTCGTTTCGACGATCATAATCGGACACAGAAAATGTTGAAAAAACTTGCATCGGTCCACAACTATAATTGTATAAAAAAATAAGTTTAGTTGGATCTAACGAGATAGGTAGCTTTCATTATTATGAAAATTACCCAAATTTAAGTTGCTAATTGATGTCTAAAGATTGTAATTTTCATTATTTTTTATTACCTGAATTTAACTTTAGTATCCTTCTTCACAAATATTTGTGAATAATCAACGTCATCCTCCTCATCGTCATCCGTTTCAGGCAAACCAGGCACTTCCATCCAGAAATGCCCATCCTCAAAGTAATGAATACCACTCTTATCCACTCCCACGACTGGTGTTTGAGTTGGTGGGTAATCTGGAAAAATCCCTGGTTCATCTTCTGTCACTACAACAATATTACTACCAACACTGGCTGTATTCGGTGCAGATCGTGATGTTTCTGCAGATAAACTGGTAACTGAACTTGTTACTGATTCTAGAAAATAAATTTAGAATATATACCAATATCATGTAACTAAAATACATGTTGTGTAGAAGTTTCTTACCATTAACTTGACTTGTCGTCAACAGCATTGAATCTTCCATAATATCCATTCGGCTCGATGTCATGGAGTCATCCATAGTAATAGCACTATCGGTTGCTGTAGATATTACAGATGTATCTAGTGATGCAAGTGCTGCTTCATCTACTGTTTCAGGTAATATGCAAGGTACAGGAATTTCTGGTTCAATCACGGACACGCTGATGGCTGTTATAGTCTCTGGTTCGGCATAATGTTCTTCAGGAGTCGTTGCGAGTGCTGGTATGGCTTTTGGAGCAGCCAAAAGTTGGGTGATTTCTCGTGCTTCTTCATCGGAGAGTAAGGGCTGGTTCCTGGATAAAATGAAATTTGTTGTCAATATATAAATAAATTGAACTTGTCTTGTTTTAATCCTCGGATAGTAGATAGAAGAACGATATGAGCATGTGTTTATGCAATTGACCACGATAAAAATGATTTTATTTTAAAAAATAATCATGCATATATAATTTTGCATGGGACTTCGCACTTAGGAATTATAGAAGAGACTATTTTTGTCAATCCTCCCATTACGCGGTACTCTGGAAAAACGATTCCCAAACCACTTGCATACTACTCTGGAAAAACGGTTCCCATATCACGCGGAGCTGAAATTCTGGTAGACCTCCTATAACACTGCACTTCTATAGCACGATTTTGTACAAGAACTAAGAATGACTAGAAAAAAGATATTCGAGTTTCGTATATTACACGGTTCGCACCCAACGCGTTATAAAGGATATGTGGCCAGCTTAAAGATGAGCTCCCAAAAATTGAAATGTATCTCCCAAAAATCATATTTTTTTAGTACAATTCTAGAACAATAGAGATCCTTCTGAATATGTAGTGCATGCAACAAAATAAATAAAGAAAACAATTCATGGAAACAAACTTATTGCTAAACTTACCCCAGTTTTTTCTCCAGGATTCTGCATCAATGTTAAATCACAAATAGAAGAAGAATCGGTCACACAAGAAGATAGACAGAAGGTAGGTGGAAGGTAGAGTAAAAAAATAGAGCAAAATTGTAGTTGAAAAAATAAGCGTTATAAAACTAAATAAATAAACTACTTAACTATTTTTTAGTAAATTCTGTCGCAGAATATAAACTAGATAAATTATACTAGACAAAATTATAAAAAACTGTTAGAAACAAATAGAAATTCGACAAATAACTAAATTTTGTTTAACAAAAAACTTGATAGCATATAAAAATACATGTAAAAATAAAACATAAAATGATTTAAAATACATGCTCAATATAAATAACACAAAACGAATAACACATAACACACATAATCAATTAACCAGTTAACTGTGAATGACGAGTATACTCGTCATGAAGAAGTAGTAGAATTTTGTGTATTGACGAGTGTATTCGTCACGCATATAAATCGGTCACCGTTGGGTATTTCAATAGAATTTTTTGGGAAAATAGAACTTATTTCCAAATTTTGATATGCATAAAATATTTTAGGCATAAAATAAGAAGTTATGGAATTTTGCCAAGGCAAGTTGCATTTAGGTAGAAACTTTTTTGATATGTGTAAATAATTGACTTAATCAATGAGAATTCAGATTTATCCTTTTGGTAAAATTTTCAGCTCAATTTCAATTTTAAAATAACTTTTATGTTTTACCCAAAGAAGTAAAATTTAGTATTCAGCCCAATTTCAATTCTAAAATAACTTTTATGTTTTACCCAAAGAAGTAAAATTTAGTATTAAACTTTTGAATGAAGCTATATTTTTCGCCCGATATCTTACCAGCGCAACTTTTCTGTGATCGGCAAATATAACCGTCACAGTTAACTTGTTAATATAAAAAATATCTTATGTATGCCTACATGCGAAATAAAATTGAAGTATTCAATACATTAGAAAAAGTTTTACTTAAAATTGAACGAGACATTACATTTACATTATAATGCCAATTTTATTAATATTCAACTATAAAAGACTAAAGTATATTCATGCAAAAAACGACTTTCTATATCTTTCTAAATAATATCATGCCGACGTAATTGTTTTGTGTTTACCTGGTGCTGAGTAAATGCTCAGCTTCATCCGGCGTCATGGTTTCAGGAAGAGATGCACCATGTCAGATAAACTACCAGGTGGAGTAATAATATCAGACAATATTTCCGCTCCACCATTCTGTTCAGAAATATCATTTTGTTTAATGATATCTGCCGCAGTACTATCCTCATCGCTAAGGTCGGCATCAGCAAATTTGACATCTTGCAAATCCAGTGCTGAATCCTGGAAAAGAAAATTGGATACAAAATATTAAATAGTCAGCGGAGTCATAGATGTAAAACAGCAATTTTCAATGTATATAAAATTTGAAAATAATGACGCATAAGTTAGTCATTCTAGAGAGTGCCAGTCGAACAACATGTTTGGAACATGTGTTTGAACGTGATTCTCATACTTAAAATTTCAACGAGAAACGTGTTTGTAAAGATTCCATCAGATCAGATAGCAATAAATGAAAAATAAATAGGCAATAAGTAAAAGTTGCAACTTTTCTTCTAATTTTACTAAACGACTTGGCCGATCGTCTCGCAAACTAATTATTGGGAGTTCTTATTGAGATACACAAAATGGCTATTCCAAAGAAAAGGACAAACTATGGCGGCAATTTTTTTGCATAGATTTATTGCTGATCAAAATAATATAATTTTTTAAGACAATATGCTGGGTGTAAATGCATTTAAGGAGTTTATCTCCTATGAGATATCTCTTTTTTTAAACATTGCATTTACTCGAGTAAGAGATTCCTCACTTAATTCTTCTAAATATTTGTTTGTTCGAGATGGTAATTTTTTGTGGTATTATTTGCTTCTTCCTTTTATTACTTCATTAATAGCCTTTATTTTCAAGTCTTTATGTAGATTGTCATTCTATGAAGAGTTGCTTACAGTCTATTTATATTTATTATCATCGATAAATATAAATTATACATCTTTGCAATTTGAAGCAATGGGATTTAAATTATAAAAAAAGTTTATTTTAGGAAATTACGAAAAAGGTCGTACAACACAATCAATGTATAACAAAGCCTCTTTAATGCTATTGGAACTCATTTTATTCAAATTTTTGATACACAAGTGTATATAACTGTTTCTATAAGATAATGTAAACAAATTATTAATCCCAAAATGAAAATTAAAAGTTATTTGAAGAAAAGTCAAAAATGTTCTAGCAAATTATCAAAATACTGAAGTCTGCATTTCAACTACGAATGATTCAAAATTTCAATATCCAAGTGTATATAACAGTTTTTACTTGATTTTAGTAAATTTTATCAAGTTTTCGCTGATGTATATAAAACAAAGTGTCCGGTGCAAGATATCCAAGGATTTCAAAAAAATACAAAAAATTGATCAAAATCCACGTCCAATTTTATCTAGATTTTACTAATGTATACAAATTAAAATGGTTGGTATGAAAATTTTAATTCCTTAAAATCAATGTAAAAAATGTCCTAATTTACATTGAAATGCCCTCCCTCGAGATGGGTATTTTTACCCGCCCCGCTTATAGTGTGGTAATATACCAGGGTGCGTTCACAATGCATCTTAAAATTTTCGATTACGCTCACTTTGGCTACATATACTTTGAATTTGGTATCAAACGAATCAGAAGGGCTTGAATCGTCGAAAAAACAAAATTAGCCAATCGAATTTTCTGATGAAAAATAAACTTCATTTATTTGGTTTGGTTTTGATGACATTATTTCAATCATTTAAGTTACGATCAAAATGTGGATAGTTTTGGACATAACTATAATTATATATGAATGTCTAAAACTATCATTAGTATTGTTGTAAAAAGATATATCAATGACTACATATCCAATGCATACGTATATTAAACCAAGCCTGCTTTACAACAGTGGAATTAAAAATAATAGACTAACATAGCACAATATCATTCTACGACTTCTGGTTCCGCCAGTATCGTTTGAAAAATCTGGATTATCCAGTTTCGAAGTTATTTGCAGTTATTAGCAATTCAACAATTTAACAATCTTAATATAAAACTCACGTTATTTCTAATCACCTCCGGAGTGGTAACATCTTGTATGTACTGCGTCACTTGTATTGGCGATCTCATAAATTCCTCTGGTTGGCAGTATAAAGCATCTTCATCATCGTATCCGTTACCAATTTCTGGTTCATGGTATAAAACAGTTTCGGGTTTAGAAATTACAGGAACTGAATGAACCGGCTCTGCCCGGTGCTTGTTCACGCAACTATATAAAGCTGACAAGTCTACTTCTTGTGCTGAGAATTTAAAAATAAAAAATAAATGATAATTGAAATATATGCATTTTAAGTGTACAGTTTTTGATTCACTAACATGTAAATTAAATGAGAAAAAGTTGTTAGAACAACTTGTAAGTGTACACAAGTAAGAATGGCATGAACTCTTCCAAGTAAATTGCTTGAGGTCAAAGGCAAAAAATCGTTTCTGGTAAATATTCTACTTTTTATACTCCGCTTTAAATTCAATACCGGTTAGATTTTAGAAATTGAACTTAATTATAATATGTATATAAATAATTTATGCAGAATTGATTTACTACAGAAAATGATTCAGAGAAATATAGAGGTTTTTATTTTATAGACGCTTTTCTCATGTTTTTAGAGATATTATTAAATTTTTATAATCATAACTAATGGATGTACATTTAAAAAATGAAAAATTTAACATGTAAATATTTATTTGAGGAAAGAACAACTATCAACTTGACTAATTAAATAAAATGACCTACAAATAATTGATCAATTTCGACTTGTTTCATTGTTTCATTTATAATTATTAAGTTCCCGTAGGATAAGTTATTGTAATGGGCCGAAAATCGAAATTGAAATTTTTTACATTTCTCGACGTTTTGAAGATTTCTGAACATTTGGCATAACTCAGAAAAAAATAGATGTGTGTGTGTATGTATGGATACAAATTTCCAGTCACGTTTTCGGGCGCACAGATCAACCGATTTGAATGGTTCAAAAAACATTCGAGCAAAGAGTGCAGAAAATAGAAATCGAGTTTTTGAGAGAACGGAGCATCCGATTTGAATGATCTAAAAAACATTCAATTAGTAATAATTGGGAGAAGTGTTTATTAGTTTTGGCAAAGGCAGGCCCAGCCATTTTGAAAATACGGAGCTAAATGTGTAAAAAATGGCAGTTTTTGAGAGAACTAAGCGTCCGATTTGAATGATTCAAAGAACTTACTGCTTGTCTTAACAAAATAATTAATTTTGGAAGAAAACATTTTTTGTTTCAACTTTTTTAAAATAATTAATAATGAAATAATCAATTTTGGAAAAAAAAAATTTTTGTTTCAACTTTTTTTGTCAAAAAAATTTTTTGTATATCGAAAATAATTCAGATTTTATTTTTAATTCTGACTATAGTTCTAATATACTTTAAACAAACAATTTCAACTTTGCAATTCAGTTTATATAATTCCTATAAATATATTAGACAATGTTACAATATTTATTTATATCTATTTGAAAACATTCAAAATTCCTCGAACATTTCGTTACAGAACGGGAAGATCCAGCAATTTGCCTTAAGGCACGATGCCATGCACCCCACTAGTTTTTAATTATTACTTAAAGCTAAAAGTTAGGAAAACAAAGCCAAATAGTTTTATTAAAATAAAGTGCATAATATATAATATATTATTGTATTTAAAATTATTAAAATATTTTTAATTGAGATAAGATCAGTTAAAAAGAATGCAAAAACCTAACTAATTACCAATTACTACTTCTTCGTACATTTGATAATTTGATGTGCATATGCCTAGTTTGATCACTTTTGAGCGCCAAATAGCAGTTATTACAAAAAAAAATCTTGGACCTCCGAAACCGCTAGACCTGTCTTCCCAAAAATTACAAATCATTCAAATTAGACGCTCCGTTATTTCAAAAACTGAATTGCCGTTTTGGGAATTTTTGCCCGTATCTTCAACTAATCAACACGTCTCCCCGTCAATACGAATCAAATATTTTTTGAGTTGTTCAAATCAGTTAATCTGTGTTCACAAAATCGTCGTCGAAAAATTGTATCCGAACACACACACACCAAACATACATTAATTTCTTCTAAGGTATGCCAAAATGTTCAGAAACCTTTGAAACGTAAAGATATATAAAAAAATTTCATGCCTGTTTTTTTGCGATAATTTTAACTTACCCTACGAGAAGTTAATAGATTTCACTAAATAAGTACAATTCAAAAATCAATGTAGTGCATAAATATAAAACTTTAATTTCTTTTTAAAATTTTGCTTGAAAATGTCTACTAAAAATATTTCTATGTTATCCATAAACCACAAACTTACGTTTTACTTAACAGTAAGCGTATAAAATACAGAGGTGATTGAGAAAAGCAGTGTAGTCAGAAAAAATAATTTATCAAGTTCCAAGCAAATAAGTGTGTCGTAAATCTTACATAAAAAAGTTGAGTATCGAATGTAAATCTAATACACAAATTACCTGCGACAGGCTTTTCTTCCACGTGTCGCCTCTCTTCCGATTCCATTTCTCGCAGCACTGAATTTTTAATAACGCCCGGCGCAGTCGGGCATGATATTGGCAACGCATAAGACGGAGGTGTGGACGGCGTATTTCCTGCTGATCCGCCAATTTGGCCTCCGTTGACTGAAGAAGGAGACTGCTGCAAATAGCAGGAGGCGTGTGATACGACATTCGTATACTGTGGAGAAGTATCGGCAGAGGCAAGTTGGGGAACAACTATCGATGAATTATTATTAATAACTGCCGATGAATTATTCGTTGTTGGACTGTTGACCGCCAGTGCGTGGGGTCGCAGTCTGGCGACGATTTCGGGCGAAGGGTCGTTGAAGCCACCTTCTTCGTCGGTCGTGGTTGCGATTGAAGCGGACGGACTGCCGGACCTACCGGCGTGCGAAGCGGCCGATGCATTGTTGGAGTGGAATGATCGAGGAGGTTTCTGATGAGCTGCACGACCTAGAAGGAAAAGATACATTTGTTGTTAATCATTACAATTTCTATCACATGATTGAAATACAAATTGAATCCAAAC